ACATGCTATATCAGATACTACCGGTCGAGCCGGCAGTACTAGCCGTGGCTATATCAAATACCGTTTGTAGTTTTTTTTTATTTTTTTTTTTGCATTAATATATCCCTTCCATATAGAATAATTGGTGTACTATTCAGCAATTTACTTGATAAAATATAATATGAAATAAACAAAATTAAGAGTAATGGTTAGTATCAATTGGAACCAATTGATGCACGAGAAGTAAATTGAAGAAGGACAAATAAACGAACTATCCACCTTTTTTTATTTCACATTTAATCAAACTTATTTCATCTATGATTTTGTTAGAATGAGATGACATTACACCATTTTATAGTTTGGGTATTTTTTTTTTTTAGTTTAGTGGATATTTTATTTTGGATAATAGATTAGTTTCGAGTTTTGGATGTCAACTTATATAATATGCTTATGATTTAATAAGCAACCCATTAGTTCTTCATTTTAATTTCCTGTAATTGGTGTTTGGAATAGCTGTTAATCTCTTTTTTTTCATATTCATTACAAAATTCATTACCCCTCAAAGACCTGATTTCATCCCACATCACAAGCATTTCCCACTATAGTGCCATTTGGTTCCTCAAAATGCCATCTATTTTCAAACCCAAGCTTCCTGCATACAATTCTAGTGAATACATATGATTTTTTGATTTCAGATAAGAAAAATATATTAGGGTGGTGGAGTCTTCTGACATCCTTGATTTGGGAAATGTGGTTAAAAATTTAAGTTTGGGAAACAGTTCTAAGTGATTCAAAAATCTATTAAATAAACGGGCCATAATATTGGGTGAAATGTGGTTAAAAGTTTTTTTTTATGTGATTAAAAGTTTGTTAATAGTAAATACTTGCAATTAAATAAATCGATAAATAAATTACAGTTGAAAAATTGATAAATATAATATTGGTTGATATTAGGCTAAAAATTTGTTAGCAATAAATAAATTGTATATAAAAAATTGTGACTAACATATTTGTGTAACAAATCTGCGTAAGTTTAACAAACTTTGAGACAGATTAGACATAATGCTTCTCAAATCGCAAGTGTAACTAACTATCACATATTTTTGTATTCAAATCTATTTATCCTGTCAGTTACTCTAACAAACTAAACTCATTGGATTGGAAATGTTTTTATATGTTTGTAACAGATTCAGTCATATTAGAAGACTGATTGACTCTGTAACTCATGTTTTAAAACATTCTTGAAAAAACAAAAAATGGCAGAAAACAGAGAAAACCTCTGATCCGTAACAATGGACGACAGAATATCCGAATTGCCAATACCTATACGTCACCACATTCTCTGTTTCCTCTCCCAAAAAGAAGCTGTGAGAACTTGTCTACTCTCCAGACAATGGCGCCACGTAGGATCAACCCGCCCCAACCTCGAATTTTTCGAAGAATGGTTCGACAACACACAAGAAAAGTTTGTCACGTTCGTCGATCGAACACTACAAGGATACCGTGATCAGAATCTCTCCATACACAAACTCCATCTCGATTTATTGAGGCCCGACTCACTACCGGCCATCTCCCTTCTCGACAAATGGATCCCGATAATAGCCGCCCTCAACATAAAAGCGTTCAAACTCAACTTTTTTTCATATACTCCAGCGTTTTACGACCTGCCTTCAGCAATCTTGGCAGCCGGATCTCTCGAAGAACTACACCTGCGCAAATCCAGGCTGAGCCCGGTCGAGAGCTTGCGGTTCAAATGTTTGCGCACACTCACCCTCGAAGAGGTCCAAGTTGATGGTGGGACATTCGAGAAGATAACTTCGGGTTGCCCTTTGCTGAGGAGCCTGGTCCTTAGTTTTTGCGAGGGGATCGAAAGGCGTAGCATCGAAATCGATGTCCCGAATATCGAGACAGTCTCCATCGTGGGGGGCCAATGGATTTGGTCTCACCGCCAAAGCGAATTCTTGTTCTCTCGTCTGACGAGTTTGAGTCTCTATGGTGTGTTCCTATCGAGCGAGTCGTTCGACCTGTTATCCTTCGGCTGCCCGACACTTGCGAGCTTGGCACTACTTAATTGCTCTGGTTTTGAGGAATTCCATCTCGCAAGTGATTCGGTCAAGTACTTGAGCATCTGGGCCACAAAAATATTGCTTAAAGGAGTTACGATATGTGCCCCGAACATTGTCAGATTTAATTTAACTGCCCCTATTTCCCAGGCACTGGACGTATTCTCTCTTGTCACTACTTCCAAGAAGTGGTACTCAAATGTAACCCTCTCTTCAGGTGAGGATGATCCCGATTTCAATGTCAATTCGTGGTTCCTTAAGCTGAGAGGTTTGCTCAAGGCACTAAGCGGGTCTCAAATTTCTCTAATTTTGCATATGGACGGCGGCCCTCAGGGCGTGCCCTGTAGTGCTTTTCTAGGTGATGAGCCGCCTGTGGTGGTGCGGAGCTTGAATTTTTCTACTCGTAAATGTCGCAACGCGTCTTGGTATATGGGGTTTACGAATGGATTGTTTCGTGTTTGTCGGCCGAGTCACGTATGGAGTGATAGCCTCGTGAGCGGATCGTACATTTACTACAGGCTCTCGGAGTTTCAGTTAATCTTGCTTGCTAACAAGAGCCTCAGGACCGAGCCCTACTTTTGGCAGCACGATTTGGAGCAAGTGCAAGTCGATGGGCAGCTCGTGCGGTACACAAACTTGTCGCAATTGCGAAACAGGACATATGATGGGATAGTGTGCCTTGAGTTGAAATGGAGAGGTCAGACTTCTCGGAATTGCGAGACAGGACGTATGACGGGACATAGTACTGTGCTCGCTTGCTTTTCTATTTACTCTATATGGCTCCTGCTTTTAATCGTGTTATTTATCTGGAGCTGGTGAATTAGGCTGCAAAAAGGTATATAGAAGTGGGTGTTGAAGGTATGCGTCCGCGTCCCTCGAAACTTATTGCTTAAGTTTCTAATGAGCACTGACACAGTGGTCAGACATTAACCACCCATCTGATTTGAAACATTGAGTTTTAGTGATGATGTTACTACCCTACGAAATTCAGTGTAATTCTTTGAGGTTGTGTTTGGACCTTGAATATCAAATTTCATCATGCTTTAAAATTCCTTACTTGGATTTGAATAGATTTAAAGGACGTGATTATAAATCCATTGTCTTGCACACTGGTGTACTCGCGGGCGCAAACTCAGGTTCGCTTGCGATTGTAGGGCAGCTCGGCGCGGGTCACACGGACTCTTGTTTCGCTAGCGAATGTCTAGTGCGCGAGTCTTGTCTCGGGATTGGCCCGAGATGGCTCGAGTGGTTCGGGTGGCTCGGAAATGGCTCGGTCGACTCGGTCAATCGGCTCGACTTCTCAAACTCGGCAAAATGGACCTAATCAACACCAAAAGTACGCAAGAAAATACGGCAAAATACAGAAACATATAACGAAAATAAAAAACACATAAAACACGATAAAATGAACCGGTTGACACTAAAACGAACATAAAAACGACTCGACTAAATTACATAAGCCACGAGAAAATAAACACAAAAACATAACAAACAGTTTTCAATGTGTTACCCACTATGACGATCCAAACATATGTCACCATGTTAGATATTTAAGATTTATTTGGAGTATTTTCTTATTTTATTTTCTTGTTTTTTTTTGTTTTTTTTTTTTTATATATATATGTATCTATATAAATATATGTAAAATATACATAAATTATTATGTAAATGTAACTTAATGACTTGTGTTTGAATAATAATTTTATACAACTATGAATTTTTTTTATGTAGGTTGACCAAATTAAGTACATAAAATATAAATCATAAACTCGAAACATTATAAATACTAAAACAATTTAAAGGGCATAGATCTATAGCATATGTCTATTATATTACAAAATTATTTGCTTCTATATAAAAATGTATCTTAATTTTTATCTAATGTCATATTTATAATTTAATCATCCATATAAGACACTTATTTGACCAAACTAATTAGTCATAATATTTTCAAATATAATGACAATAATGGATTGTAAAATCATGAAAACCGTTTCTAGTTTGTTTTTTTATTTTTTATTTTTTTTGCATCAATATATCCCTTCCATATAGAATAGTTGGTGTACTATTCAGCAATTTACTTGATAAAATATAATATGAAATAAATAAAATTAAGAGTAATGGTTAGTATCAATTGATGCAAACAAAATGATGCACGAGAAGTAAATTGAAGAGAGACAAATAAACGAATTATCCACCTTTTTTTATTTCACATTTAATCAAACTTATTTCACTATGATTTTGTAAGAATGAGATGACATTTCACCATTTTATATTTTGGGTAATTTTTTTTTTT